ATTTGCTTCCTGTTACTCAGACCAGCGCCCAGCACCCAGCGCCCAGGATAACCCAGAACACATCCGCGGAGTTGTTCTCTGCTCACTTAAATCTTTCTGAAAACATCCTGACACAAGCTCATACAGGAGTATTTTCACAGTCTTCTAAATCCCACCAAGCAGACTATCACAGTGGATAATGGGCAAGAGGAAGGTGAAATTTAAAATCCAAGGGACATTGTAGGCTGCAAAATGCTGTCGGATGTGCAAACGACGTTCTGAAGCCTAAGCAAACGCTTTTCTGTGTTTGAAAGGGCTTCCTCTTGGGGGTGGACAGACAGGATGTGTCTAGGTGAGCTTCAGTGTCAAATGAAGACCGAGAAGATAGCAGCTGATGATACCTGGAACTCTGAGAAGGGCAGCGTGCGGGTACCTTCACACCCACTGCCTCACTTCCTTCTCCCTGCAGCCTTGTGGCAACCGCCAACAATCCCTGCCGGTCCCATGTTTTCATCCTTACCCATCACTTAGCCGAGGCTGGCCATGACCTCGCTGTGCAGCTGAGGATGGCCTTGAACTTCTGATCCCTCTGCCTCCACCTCTCCAGTGCTGGACTGCCATACTTGGCTATGTGGAGTCGGACATAAACCCCAGGGTTTTACCTCAGAACTCTTTTTCATTTCACAGAAAAGCAAACAACAGGCAACTCCGTTAGACTGGGAGCAACTGTTGTTACAAATGTTAAACAACGTGCTTTAGTCTTTACAAAGGTAAAGGAACGCTAGTCTTTTTTTTTTTTTTTTCAGAACAATAGAAAATGAAACCTCCAGAATGGCCCTCACAGACACATACTGCTATCAAAAGAACCTCAGAAGCCAGCTCATCCTCTTACAGAGAAGACTCCCTCAAATTCTGTGTCCTGCTGGTAACCCCTCCCCTTCAAGACCTCGGTTTGAAATCACTTCTCTGGCCTCCTCAGCTGTCACTCAAAGCACCTGGATTTGTTTCCAGCACACCTGACTGTTTAGTGTACACGAATCTGATCCTTGGTCCCAGGGGTGGGTTGGGGGCATCACTTTCTCACCCAACACAATCCACCCAGTTCCTAACACTGTTGCGTTTCCTACCTCCTGCTGACGACAGGGGTGGTCAATCTCCCTGGACTCTCACTATCTGAGACAGGAGGATTGCCACAAGTTGGATCTAGCATTACTCACACTAAATCCTAAGGCAGTTTGCGCTACAAAGTGGGATCCTGTCAAAAAGAAAAATCTTTCAGTTAATAAAACCGAGAGATTGGAATTTCTTTTCAAGCCCAGGGCCGAATTTAATTTTCATCTAATATAGATGAAAGAGTAAAACATGCAAGGTGATAGGAGCACAAGCATCAGGCGGGTGGAGGCGGCACAAGTCTTTAATCCCAGCACTTGGGAGGCAGAGGCAGGCGGATTTCTGTGAGTTCAAGGCCAGCCCGGTCCACAGCGTGAGTTCCAGGACAGCCAGGAATATGTAGAAACTCTGTCTCAAAAGACCAAACAAGCCTGGCAGTGGTGGCGCATGCCTTTAATCCCCGCACTTGGGAGGCAGAGGCAGGCAGACTTCTGAGTTCGAGGCCAGCCTGGTCTACAGCCAGGGCTACAGAGTGAGTTCCAGGAGAGCCAGGGCTACACAGAGAAACCCTGTCTCAAAAAACAAAACAAAACAAAACAAAAAAGACCAAACACAACACACAAAATAATAAAAGTATCACAAACTTGACTGGCTAAAGTATTTCCCTCCCCAGAACAAAGAGACCTCCTGAAAAGTTTAGAGTCCTGTGCTGCTGTGTGTGTGAACATTTCAGAGTATCAACTCGCCTTGCTCAGAAACAGAGACAGGAGCTTCTGGGGAGCTCGGTGCCAAGGTGTGGGGCTGAGAACTTGTTAAGATGGCGGAGCCTCTGCACTGGTCTGCACCGACAAAGTCTGCTTTGTCAAAAACACTACGCAATTTGAAGTCTTCCCAAGGGTGTCTCTCAGAAACCAGAGTTTTAAATCCCAAGCTGCCCCTCAACCCTATCCCTCTACCATCAACTTGGAGTGGTTTACCACAAAGCAAAGCAAAACAAGACGACCAAACCAGACCAGAGACCAAACCAAAGCCTTAACCCACCCTGCAGACAGATGAGGCTCACCTGGGAGTAACTCTGGAGCTGGCCGTCCCTTTAGGCCTTCACCTGGCCTTCCTCTCCACCCTGTTGGCGCCTTAGCTGAGATTCTTTCTAGAACTCGTAAATAAGAAAGTAGCCACTCACACCGGAAATCAGCAGGGGGTTGGTTAAATTCTCATTACTTAGTTCCTTTGCAAAGGATGGTGCCTGTCGTGAGCTGGCTGAGTGGCTCGGCCCACTGCAAGGTTGGGTGGCTTGCCTGGCTTCTGAGCCGTCTTTTCCTGGTTGCTCCAGGAATTACCTGACAGATACCAAGAGGAATGCTGGGAATGGTTCCCTGCCCTGCCCACTCTGCCTAGGCAGCAAACCTTAAAGGAAACCCAAGACAGTTCCCTCCCTGTAGTTCATGATTAGCTCCTAAGTCAGTGGTTCTCAGCCTTCCTAACGCCATGACCCTTTCTTACAGTTCCTCATGCTGTGGTGACCCCACCACCACCACAAAATTACTTTGTTGCTACTTCATAACTGTAATTTTGCTACCGTTATGAGTTGTAATGCAAATATCTGATATGCAGGATATCTGATAGGCCACCCCTATGAAACAGCTGTTCAACTCCCAAGGGGTCATGACTCACAGGTTGAGAACCAGTACCCTCATAAAGCCACTTCCATAAATGAAGCCCAACCACCAGCATGTAAATAAGTGAGTGAAAAGGTCCCTCTGTTCCAGCACAAGCCTGCTTTCACGGTCTGCCCCTCAGAGGCGATGTAGTGTTTTCTCTTTGAAAATCAGTTTGCCAAACATTCTTAGGAGCTTGAGAACAAGATGCTGAGAAGCCAGGCTGTCAAAGGCCAGCCAATCACTCACACCATTCCTTGGGACTACCCGGCAATGTGTTTCCTCAACGATGAGTGTAATATTCATATTAATTCACTGCCTGGGGAGTAGATACGTTACTATACTGTGAGCCTTTTGAATAAGGCCCAGTACATGTTTAGCACCTTGTTGACACGTTGATCTAGGTTGTACCAGAGACTTCCCCTTTCAGTAAAACAAAACACCCAAATAAGACCACCTGACAGCACCCCAATGCAGTGTTTGTATACTAACCCCTGCCAAGTCCCTCAAAAGTCTGTCCCTCTTGTGTGTTACACACTCACAACACTGACCCATGGTGACAGCCTGGAAGACATGAGAACTCCCCACAAGCAAGCAAGGAATCCTGCAGCGAACACCCGCAAGATGGCCTCTTCTGGTCCTACCCACGGCTGAGGGCCCAGTCCTCCGAACTCACTGCACACTAGACATTAACAAAGTCCGGGGTTACATGGCTATAAGTCTGGGTTCCCTTGGCACCCCTCCTCAGATTAATCTTACTAGAACAGCCCCCAGAAGGCCAGGAAATACCCACCTGTATGTGCTGGTTTATCATAAAAGATACAGATGAAGACAGACACTGGGCACGAAGCACTTGTCCAAGAAACTCTCTACATGGGGACGGGGCGGCTGTGAATCGCTGTGGAGCCTTCACTACATCAGCACACAGTGAAGCATAAACAGCCATGCTGAAATGGATCGATGGTGAGGAAGCCCAGCAGGGCGTGTCTCTCCAGGTTGTCCAGGTTGTCCTTCCGGTTTATTGTAGCCTAGCTTTCTTATAGCCAAGAGGCAGGACCCCTTTTGGAACTGAGTCTCATGCTACACTTCAAATAATTTGCTTTTATTTTTATTAACAGTACTATCGCCATAGTGATGGAGATGGAACAACCCGAGGGCATTTCCTCTTTTCTAAATAGTTTTCATTTTTAATGATGTGCATGTGTTTGGGTGTGGCACGTGAGTGCAGGTGCCCTCAGAGACCCAGAGTCCTGAGCTCTCCCTAGAGATAAGAGTTACATGCAGAAGGGTGTGAGCACCCAGGGGTGGATGCTTGGGAACTGATCTTTTTTCAGTTCTGAAAAAGCAGAAAACACTTTTTAATCTCGGAGCCATCTCTCCAGCCTCACAAGAGGATGGTTCCTTTAGGGCCAGCTCCAAGACAGGAAGAGACAGGAAGCTTTGCTTCTACAACCTGCCTCAGTGAAGAGAAATTCTCATTTCTATTCTTTGTCTTAGGAGAGGGAGTGAAGAGTCAGGAATCCTGTTGAAGTGACTTCCCAGAACCTTCAGAAAAGAGTTTGGCAAAAAAAAGTTGATTCCTCTTGGGGCCCAGCTCTTGTTTCAACAAGGCCTCTAGGGGGCAGCATGGCAGAGAGCACACTTTATGCAGCCTTGGAGACAGAAAACAAGGGGAACAATGTCGCCATCAAATCCAAGCAAACCTCTCCATCCATTTGTAAGAAACAGTTTAGTTATCTAAAACCAAACACGCCCTGCTGTTGAAGTGGCTTATTGCAGGGAAAACCTGGCAAGTCAAAAAAACGGCAGGGGAGGGCGGGGCCTCCGAGGACCACACGGTTCTGGCAGTAGGAACAAGAAGGGGAGGGCGGGGCCTCCAAGGACCACATGGTTCTGGCAGTAGGGACAAGAAGACCGGGTCCGGATAGCGCTTTGGTGTTTGCATGGCTTTCTAGAGTTCCCAAGGCATACATTTGTTTTTGAAAGGAAAAACAATTTTAATGTGCAGGACACGCAGACATGGAGCTAGAACGAAAGGCAAATGACATTTGGAAAAGCGCGTGACCCCTCTCCGGGAAAAAACAAAACCAACCATCATTATTGAATCACCGTACGTTCTTCTCCAAAAAAAAAAAAGCTTCTTCCAAAACAGTGACATATATATATATATATATATATATATATATATATATATATAAATTACATGTTTTACACATTTATTAGCATGTTATCATAAATAAAGACATACAAGTATCAACTGACGACTTCAAATTTTTTTTAATAATAGAAACAATTTTTGCCATTCCAGACACAATTTCAGGGGAGGAAAAAAAAATCTGCCCTATAAAAATAAAACTTAAAAGTCCTCAACATTATAAATATAGCGTTTAACTTTAGATTTAAAAAGCTTCCCTGCGGTCCCCCTTCATTCAACACCGTTCCTGTACCATCGCATTCCGAAGAGAAAACAGTAATACAGCAAAGCTGTTTTGTTTTACCGAAGGATCTGAACAACGGTTAAAAAAAAAAAAAAAAAAAGATCTTTGGCCCCCGGGGCTCTTTTTCTTCCTTTGTGCTCTGAAAAACTGCTGCTGTAGTAACCAGTGTTTGGGAGAGAACATCAGTCTTCAGGACGGGCAGATCTTCAATACAGTGACACTTCCGAGTCTCAAAGTGTAGTGCACACGCCACGGAGCGAGGCTTGGATGAATACAGAGGAGGGTGCTGTTTGCATACAGTCTACTTCAAGTAAAAAAAAAAAAAATTTCACAGATACCCATCAGCTGCTACTTCAGGTTCTAACAGTGTCTAAATCTGAGAAACTAACGCCTCACAAACACTGAGGACATTGGGAGGAGGAATTAGAAGACCAGGTGGCTGGTGGCGGCATACACAAACCCAAGCCATAGTCTGAAGAGTAAGACCGGTACAGGAACCATGGAGGTATTCCCTGAACAAAGGCAGCGTGTCGGATGACAATGTCACTAAACCTCACTGATGCGCAAAGAAGAAATCACATGCAAAATTAAACAAGATGTGCCATTCATATTTTATAGCTAGCTCTACTCTTTTTTTTTCCCCCAACTCTTCCTAATAGCTTAGAAGATCCGATTGTCTCGGGAGCTTGGATCTGCCTCCCACGGGGTGGCGTTCTCTGATGAAGTCAGGAGAGCCACCCCGGAGGGACAGTGTCTCCATCCAAGGCACAGTTCATAGAAAGGCAAAGAGCGGGAGCACCTCGGAATTTCCAAAAGATTCCATCGGGTGTCACCGTGTTAACAATTCCTTGGGAATTTATAAACAACAAAATCTATCTAGACTAGAGGCAGACCAACCGGAAGGCCCCTCTGGAAGCGCGAACACCGTGCCCGCCGCTCTCTGATTTGCAGGGTGCTCTGGGAAGAGAGCCCATCGCGCCTGGTCTATTGCACACGCGTCTCTTTGGTTGGAAGGAACATGCACGCTTGTGTTAAAATACTTCCATAATGAACGCCTGTGGTGCGGTCAGCTGGGTGTGGCCTTTCCTTCCTTGGGGCCCTTAGGTCTCTGAAGAGGCAAGGATGCAGTAGGACCTGGCCTTTAATCAACATCCCTGTCTTCTACTTCATAAGAACAACTCTGGAGAGTGATTGGGGCTGGGGTGGGGGGGCGCAGGGAAAAGGAAGGGTGGAATAACAGGAAGGGGGTGATTGTCACAGAGTGTGCTGTGAGCCCCACAAAGTGTGCTGTGAGCCCCGGCCTTGCTACATCTCCTAGCTAACAGCTGAGGGGAAGCAGCTGCTCTTACCCAAACTCCTTTTTAACTCTGAGAGCAACCTCTGTGTGTGTGTGTGTGTGTGTGTGTGTGTGTGTGTGTGTATGTGTGTGTGTGTGTGTATGTGTGTGTGTGTGTGTGTGTGTGTGTGTGTGTGTGTGTGTGTGTGTGGGGGGGGGATCTACATTAACAGGAATCAGCACTCGGTCAGGCCCCACCTCCACAGAGCAGCTAAACCCCAGGCCATCCGGGAACGGATGCACAGGTCAGGTCCAGCTGAGGCAAGCCTACCTGCGGACCACCTCGGTCAAGGTTAAATCCATTACAGGTCGGCTGCAGTTCATGAGTCCCTCCTCCCTCCTTTGGGCTTAGCTCTTGGCTCTTTGGCTCTGACCCCACATTTTACCACTAACAAATTAAACAATCTTTAACTGAGCTCAACACTGACCCTGAATGCTTTTAGCTCCTTTACAGACAAATACACCTTTCTCCTCTGATACTAACTTAGAAACCATGCTACCTCCCCGAGCCCTAGGCCCTCACCTTCCCTCTACCTTCCCGACATGCTCTTTACTTTCTTTGTCAAAACTCTTCCAAAATCTTTTCCCAATCCCCCAGAGTTCCTGAATTCCTGTGTCCGTCAGTTCATGTGGGTAGACTGTTCTGACAGAGAACAAAAACAAGCAGGGTTTCACCGTAGGACTTGAGATCGCCTAGTAAAGCTTTAAAGATCATCTTCGCATCCTGAAGCTACCGAAATCACATCATTAAAGTAACTAGAAGATAACAGGGAGCATCAACCCGGAGTCCGAGCTTCCGAGCGCTCCAGGATGCGCCTGACGAGCACAGGCTCACAGCTCGCAAGAGGTAACGTCGCCATGCCAAAACAGAACAAGCTTGCAGAGTCCCTTGTGCCAATCCGTGAGGCGCAGGATGGTGCGTGACCAGGCTTTGAGAACTGTGTCTACAGGGAAAAGAGGAAGGCACGAAGACAGCTCTCCGAGGAGAGAGGCAATCGATGCGGCTCTCTCGTGCGTCCCGAGCTGTGCCTTCCGGGCAGGCAGAGCCCTGTGCCTTAGCCGGGCTTCCAGCCCTCGCCCAGCGCCTCCTCCAGCTTCTGCCTGTAGGCTGAATAGCGCCGCTTCAGGCTCTGCAGCTGCTCGTCCTCCTCCTTGTCCAAGATGCGCAGGAAGTTCTGCAGCTCCGGGAGGCTGAAGGCTTCCCACTGTTGGGGGACACAGAGGAATATGCCGTGACAGGATCCAGGAATAATCCAGACAGGGTCACTCTGTGTCCTCCCCGCAACCACCAGGGGTCCCCCTCCCACCGCCAGGACAAGATTCTGCTGTGTTGTACAGTCTAGTCCTGAACTCATGATCCTCCTGCCTCAGCCTCCGGAGCGCTGGTTTTACGGCGTGTGACACCAAGCCCCTCAGAAGGCTGAGGTGTGGCTGCCCTCCCCTCCTAGTCCAACCCCACAGGGAAGCCTCTCCCCATGTCTGCACTGGCAGTCATCAGAGTCTGGCCTTCCTCTCCCTGCCCACGGTAGCCTCGACTCCTGCAGCCCGACCAGACCTGCCCCGGCTCTCCTCATCCACTCCCCACCCTGCACAGCCTCCTTCCCCTCCTTCTCGCCCTACTCTTGTTCTCTCCGACCTGAGCTCCGACTCCCAGCCCACCCACCCACGCACGCAGCCACGGTAAGCACGCATGGGTATCCAGTTGGCACGCCTGGATGTTTACCCGAGGTAAGACATGCTCTCCCTTCCAGCCCCACCCTTAGCTGCCGCAGGACCTCAGCTGTGCGCATGCGCCGTTCTCCTTGCTTTGCCTACCAAGCTTCTGCCCACCCTTCGGGTCTCAGCTCACACCGACCTTCCTGAGAAGGCTTCCAGGACCTTTCCCCTTCCCTTCCCAGCCAAGGCTGGGTTTATTAACAGGTCTCTCTGAGCCACTGTGAAGCCCGGCTCACAATCAAGATTGTAAGGACTGAAACACCTTGCTGAGCGACTCCCTCGCCCACGCCCGCCCTCCACGGCAGCTGGACCGAGCTCACTACTTGGAGTTTGGTGCTGTCCTGGAGGCTGAGTTCTCTTCACTAACAGCACCCCTCCCACAGCACACACACACACACACACACACTGGAGAGAGAGCAGCAAGATGCCTGAGTGGTTAACGGCTTCTCTTGCCAAGCCTAACAACTAGAGTTTCAACCCTGGAACCCACATGATGGGGGAGAGCCGGCTCCTGCCAGTTGTTCTCTCAGCTCCACAGGTTATGACGTGACAAGTTATGTCACATTCACACAAGACAATAAAATGCAATTTAAAAAACAAAAGGTTTTTTTTTCTTTTAAAAAGCAGTGGCTATCAAGGAAACTGCTGTGCAAAAAAAACAGTGACCCGAGTTCTTCCCTGTGACCCACCGAGCTGTGGGAGGTTGTCCTCTGATCTCCTCATACATGCTGAGGTATACATGCCCACAAAATACATCCATACAATCACAATGAGAATAATAACTGTTTGTAGACCTTGTCTGAGGGGAAGGCCGGAACAACCAGAAGCTCTGCCTCATCTTGTGTCCCTATCTAGCCACAGCCCGAGTCTCCTGACTAGGCCAGCAAGCTTGTTCTCTCCGAGCGTGGACTATTCCACGGGACACCTCACACGGCTGGAGTCTGAGTGCCTGGCCTGGGCTGGAGAGTTTGTTCCAGGATCACTGGAAGCTGACAGACGATATACATGGTGGCCCCAAAAATGGTTTTCAATGGATACCCCAATACGTCCTCCTTGGAGAGAAGAGGACGTGTGCAAACAGAAGTCCTGAATCCTCTGACTGGATGCAGAGGGAAGGGATGCCAGGCCCCCATCCTGTTGGGTTTCCTTGCTTTCCCTTTGGAGACGTTTCTTAGCAGCAGATAAGAGGAGACACAGCTGGATTAGAGTCACACAGAGCTGGGAAGGGTGAACACTGCTCTCTGTGTGAGCCTCAGTAAGAATTCTCTCCTCCAACCTCTGAGGAGCACACGGCAATATAATGTTCTAAGAGAATTACACTGTAAGCTAACCAGGGCTTTACTCTGGGTAAGTCAAAATCTCTCCCTTTTGCTGCCCCCCTCCTCCACCTCCTTTAAGCAATAAAGCAGGCCAGCTCTTCTGTGTCATCTGATGCCACCGTGAACAATCCCTCACTCACCTCTCCAATCTCATGTTCTCGAAGAACAAAACTAAGTGTGTCGGTTCTGGGCCCTGCTACCAAACGCAGGTACAGCGGGTGTTCCCGGTCCGAGAGCTTGCAGGCATACACTGGGAAGGGAGACAAACAGCATGTTACAGAGGACTCCAGCGTTCCTGAGACAGTTCCCCCACCCCACCCCGACACAACACAGAAACAGGTCACAGCGCACACACAGGTTCATGTGCATGCGCGCACACGCACAACTGTGACACGTCACAGTAACAGGTCACAGTCCCTGAGCCTCTAGATCACAATGCTCTCGTGCTAACACCACAGGCCCACAGTGCACAACCATACACCGTGCCTTGAAGAGGCAGAAGTGAGTTCCAAGAATAAGATGAAACAGAAATTTGCATCAAGCATGCTATGATTCTGTCCCTCCTTTAAGAAAGATGGGACACTCTGGGGTGGGGGTTGGGACTTTAAACACCCCCCTTTCTAAAAAAGATTTTTATTTATTTATTTCGTGTATGTGGGTACACTGCTGCTGCCTTCACACACACCAGAAAAGGGTATGGGATCTCCAGTACAGATGGTTGTGAGCCACCGTGTAGTTGCTAGGACTTGAACTCAGGACCTCTAGAGGAGCAGTCAGTGCTCTTAACCGCTGAGTTTGTCCTACAAGCACAGTGTGTCTTCACAGATGCACTCTCATGTCTGAAGATCTGCCAGCCATGAGGGGGACGGCTCAGCTGGACACTGCCATTTTAGATTGTGTGGCTGACGTCCACCTGCACTGGCAAAGTTGCTGGCAAACTAAAAATGTCCTCAGGCCTCCCTATGTCCCTTAGCACTTCAAGTATAACTGCATTGCAGTTTCCTGGTGGCTCCTCCTCTGCCGGGCTGCTGGGCCTGTGGCTTCTGACTTGCCTATCTTTCTGTTCCAAAGGGCCTGTGTTTAACAAATGTACACGCTCAGAAAAAGCTGTGTGTCACCCCGGGCAGCTAAAGGACATAACTATCATGTCAAAGTGAGTACATCTTCTTCTATTGCTGCTTTAGGCTTTTCCCAGAGAAAACTTAAGTAGCTTACTGCTTGGCTCATAGACACCGACTCCCATTCAAACCACTCCCCGGGAGGTCCCATCCCATTTCATGAGGTAATCTAATGTTCGTTCTACTGGGCATTCGTGTAAATGCAGGTAGAGCCGAGGTCAGCACTCATTGTTGTTACATGTGAGTTGTACATGTGCCTCTTGGCCCGTCGAGCCTTAGCGTGTGCGCATGAGCTCCAGATAGAAAAGCGTTACTGAAAACTCCACCACAGAAGTGTTCTCTGGTGTGGGCATTGCGATCACTGCTACCATACCCTCACCAAACCTGTCCCTCTGTGCAGCACACCAGCAAATCCTCCGCATGTGCCCACTGCATGCAGACGCCTCAAAGGCCTCAGACCTAACACTCTTCAACTCAAAAATACGAACAGACAGCGATCATAAAGATCTGCCATCAGAGTGTGGCTTCCACAGTCTGTCCCTGGCCTCTGACAGACACGGTTAGACACGGCTTCTATCAGCTGTCCTTCTGCTACTGAGTAAGAGAGACAGGGACAGACGGACCATTTTCATTTTGAGTGTGGCCACGTACCTTGGTCTTCCCTGTGACAACGCTTATAAAGCGCAAACTTGGTGGGACTCTCGGTCACCAGAAACTTCTTGAGCAGGGCCTCGATCACCTCTCCCACCGTGTTTGTGCTGCTGATGTGAAGTGTGTTCATACATCCAGTGCTACTGGGGCTGGGAGGGAGCTGGGCAGGCTTGCAGAGGTCCATCTGCACCTTGATGAAGCCAGTGTAGATCCCGTTTGAATTCTGAAGAATAAAGAAAGGTCACACTGAGTGGGTGCCTGGCAGGCCAGGACAGGAACAGATCTAGGCCCCATGGGAAGGCGAACACAGTCCTGTGTGCCACATGCCTGCCAGACCAGATCTTCCTCAAAGCCTGAAGCCATCTCAGCTCGGTGTTCAACACCAACCTTCCACAAGAAGGAAGGTCATGGTGAGGGCTCTGAGACACCCAAGTCAGCAATGAGTTGACACTAGGAAAACAGGCTACCTTTATTCCCAGTGACAAGGGGGACACATAGCAGATGACACTTCTGCTACACTCTTTTGACACTCATTAGTGCACAGCAGTGTGTCAGACACTGCCACCTCCCACCCAGTCAAGGCGGGGTCCCTCATTCTGTTTTTGCCATGGCTGCTGCTGCTCTTGGGTATTCCAGGCTCCCAGTCCCGAAAGCTCCTGCACGATCCTCCATTTCTCTGTAGGAGTGTTGGCATTACAGATGTGCACCACTCCGTCTGGCCTTCTTATGAGTCTCAGGGATCAAACCTGCCAGCTTATACTTTTACACACACACACACACACACACGCCCTATCCCCATCCATCTTTCGGTGAGAGTCAGGCAAACCAGGAAGGAGTACTTACTAAGGTCATCTTCAGCTTGTCCGTGACCGCTGAATTGTATTTATGAACTTTTTCTTTGATTTCCTCTTTGCTGAGGTAATTGTGTGTTTCCTTCTCTTTCTCCACATCCTAGAAGAAAAACAAACCATGATCATGTATGAACAACCACCAGGGGAAAATGTGCAGATGAACCAGGATTCATCTGTGTCCCACAAGAGTAGCCAGACTCCCTGAGACACAGGCAACGCTAGTTCACTCAAGCACACCAGGCTCATCTGCCAAGCGTGCTACACTCTACATACCAGTCTTCCTAGAGGTGACAGAATTAAGCCAATCCAGCATGACTAAAACCAGCACTTCATTAAATATTATCCCGCAAATCTGTCTTTGCTAAATTCCTTCTGTAAAAATATAGATCCGCAGAGTGTCCGCTACTGGGCATTCCTACCTCTAAGGGTTGTTTGTTTATCTGCATGTTTACTTTTGAGACAGGGTCTCATTGAGTGGACCCGGCTGGCCTAGAACTTGCTATATAAACCAGGCTGGCCTAGAACTAACAGAGACCTGCCTGCCTCTGCTTCCTGAGTGCTGAGATTGAAGATGTGTGCCATTATGCCTGGCACACCCAAAGCTTCTCCTAAGTATAGTTTATTAGTGTCATGAGCTCTATGGCTGTACAGTGTGCATTAGCAGAAAGTAGGGAATGAATACTAAGTAACTGGCAGTAATCAGCGACCTGTCAGACTGTGCATAACTACCAGAGGGTATATTTACCTTCCAAATAGTCTTTGTGCCAAGATATAAGTGACCAGATTCTCTCTACCCCACCATGCTATTTGGCCTTTTCCCAGAACACGAGAGGGGAAACACTGGCTAAGTTCTCTCCTGATTCTTTAGAATTCACTAATAATTTACTATCTAAAGACCTCAATCAATGCAGGAATGTCCTACCTGATTTTATGTCATCTTGACGCTGGATAGAAGAAGGTAGAAGAAGGTAGGGAAGAAGGAACTTCAAGTGAGAAAATGCCCCCACCCCAGATTGAATGGTGGGCAAGCCTGTGGTGCATTCTCTTGATTGGCTGATTGATGTGGGAGGATTCAGCCCACTGTGGGCGGAGCCACACATGGACTGGTGGTCTTGGGCACTATACAAAAGCAAGCCAGGCAAGTGTCTTAGTCAGGGTTTCTATTCTTGTACAAACATCATGACCAAGAAGCAAGTTGGGGAGGAAAGGGTTTATTCAGCTTACACTTCCACATTGCTGTTCATCACTAAAGGAAATCAGGCCTGGAACTCACACAGGGCAGGAACTTGGAGGCAGGAGCTGATGCAGAGGCCATGGAGGGGTGTTACTTACTAGCTTACTTCCCCTGGCTTGCTCAGCTTGCTTTCTTATAGAACCCAGGACTACCAGCCCAGGGATGGCCCCACCCACAATGGTTCTTCCCACCCTTGATCACTAATTGAGAAAATGCCTTACAGCTGGATCTCATGGAGGCATTTCCTCAAGGGAGGCTCCTTTCTCTGTGGTAACTCCAGCTTGTATCAAGTTGACACAAAACCTACAGCAAGCCGGTAAGCAGCAGACCTACATGGCCTCCGCCATCAGTGCCTGCTTTGAGCTGCAGCACAGTGACTTCTCTGGACAATGGACACACACACAGAAAATGTAAACCCTTTTCCTCCCCAAGCTGCTTTTGGTCAGTGTCTTATCCCAGCAATGGTAACCTACCTAGGACAGGTGCAGACATGTACCCACAATGCCTAACTGTAGCGTCTGGTGAGTCAAGGGCACCGAATTAGATCACATGTCATTCTCCTAACCACCCGCAAAGCTGGTGTAATTACCCAGTGTCCACGTAGAACTGAGTTCTAGCGAGTGAGTTAGCGTGCCAGAAGAAATTTAGCTGCTAAGTGGAGCCTCATCCCAGAGCCGGGCAACACTCGTCAGCTCAACTGTCTGGAGCCTGTAAGTATCTCCACATGGGCATTTCATTTAACACTTCTTCAAAAGAGAGCTAGCTAGTCTCTCTGTGGTATAGACGGGAAGCAGGAGAGGTCTACAGAGCCAATCGGCCCTTCCAAGAAGTCCTCACTAGTTACCTGAACAAGTTCTATCTTAACCCAGATCACTAAATAGGTCTCCAAGGTTCTGGTGTAGACAAACATTTGAAAATGCAAAGAACGTGTGTACAGTTGGATTCAAACTCAGGGAGCAGATTGGAAAAAGAAAGGTATGAAGATATGTGTGTTCTAGCTAGCCAGAGTGCACCATGCTCACGGCTGGATGGACATTCCCCAGGCAGGCAGCTGTTCCACTGTGTGGCGATGGCACAGATACACCAGGAATGGTCACTATGGAACCCGCCGGAGGAATGCCATCCCGAATACAGAGTGGCTCTCAAGCAAGCATTCCAGCAAGACCAGGCTCCGTTCTTGACGTTCTTTAGTCTACCACTGGGCCTCAGGGCGTGCTCACCCTCTAAGTCTGTTTGCTCATTTCCTGCTAAGTGTCTGGAATAGGTCACATCTGCAGAGCTCCTGACCTAAGAGCAGCGCTGTCTGCAAAGATCTGATCTGATAGCTGTTCCCTCTTAAGACCAAGGGAGGGACAGGGCTCCAGGTAAGGGATCAAGGACACCAAAGGGCCCCCAGACCACTAGCTGCACACAAATGGCACTACATGTGTGCCCGGGGCTTCTCAGGGGTGAAAACTCCCAAGGGAAGGAGTGGAAGGGGGCAGAGGGAGTGGTGAATAGCAAAGACAAGGACCAGGGCTTAGGCCCTTCGGACCAGAAACCCACAGGCACTATGAGAAAGATCAAAGGAGCCATGACCCCAGGATAGCCCACACCTGAGCACAGAGGAGGACCACATACAGACAGTTATCTTTACTTCTCAGAGACTGAGCGGAAGAAGGAGTGGAAGGCATCAAGAAGGTGGGGGCTCAAGGCCTGCAGGTCCCCTTCTGGGTTGAGCACTTTGTTATTCAAAGATGGACAGTAAATCCTGGGAAAATAAAATAAACTGGGGGGGGGGGAGGGTGAGGTGGGGGGGGAGGGGGGGGTGGGGGGGGAAGGGCATCTACTCATGTAATACAGGCTTGTGTTTGAGGAGGGTGGGGTAGGAGCTATGGGGACTCCCTGCAGCTGTCCCGTCTCAAGGTGCCTGTTCCCTGGGTAGCCTGGCAAACACAGGTTCTTCAACTGCAGACAGTGCAGAGACAGCACACAGACGGGGCGGAGGCTGGGTGGGAAATGACACTGACTTCAGATAGGGCCCGAAGTGGAGAAGGACCACAACCTTGGGAAACTTCTAGATTGTGTAAGCCTTGAAGGGACTCCCTTGTCTGCCAGCCTGGGAAAGAATCCTCCAAATACGCGCACATTCTCAAATTCTCAATACGCCTCAGGTGGGGCAGAGGGGTGGGAAGGAAAAAGGCAGAGAGCAGAGGCGGGGTTAAGCAGTGGCACAGCACAGACTATAAACAGGATTCTCACTGCAGGGCAGGACGGGGAAGGGCAGGGGCAGCCGCCTGTGAATAATGCATGGTTATTGCCCTTGGCAGCCAGGGAGGGGCTGGTGCCACACCCCAGAGCGTCTGCCGGGCAGGTTACAAGTCATTTTTGTCTGAGGACACAGGGAGAGTCCTGCCATGCAAAACTCTAACTCTAAACACTTCCCTGGGATCTCAGCCACCATTGCCCAAGGAGCATAGTTTGGGTCAGACCCACTTCCAGGGTGGGGCCCCATTTCCAGGCTGTTTGTTTTCTCACTAGTGAACTTTCTCAGAAGAGACACACCCACCTACCTCAGACACAGAGGACCTGCATCTGAGGCACATGCCTTCTTTTTCATAGGCTTTCCAAGGATAGACCAGACCCACTACAAGTCTGAGAGGACCTGAGAATCACTTACACTTTCCAGGTTAACTCTGAAGCTACATCAGAATACAAAATACAAAACCACTGAAGAACAAAGCTCAAAGAGCCAAACTGTGGTGGCACAGGCGGAGGCAGGTGGACCTGTGAGTTCGGGGGCCAGACTGGGGCTTACAAAGCAAGTTCCAGGACAGCCAGGGCTACACAGAGAAACCTCATCTTGAAAAAACAAAACGAATTATGAATTATGGGTCACACATACTTAGGTCCAAAATCATGGCTCTGCCAACCTTTTCTAGCTGTGACCAAAGGCAAGTCATGGGACCTCTCTGAGCCTTGGCTTTCTCATCTCTGTGACATGTGTAAAAACAATACCTACTTTATACAACTGAGAGGACACAATAGCAGCCATCATTTGACAATTAGTTATTAGTGCCCACTGGTGCCAAGTCGGATTTCTAGCTGTGAGAGGCGGTTGTGATCCCCGCCTTCCTGCCCCTCCTGGCTGACAGCCTGGTGAAGCCTGCCTTACTCCCTGGGCCCCACCCACTCGAAGCGGTTGATTGTCTCACTTGGCACCACAGGCCTCTGGGACACAAGGCAGGGCTATGGATATAGCTCATGGGTAGAGCACAGTGTGAGACACCCACGGTCTTGGCTTCTGTACAGTGGGGGTCTTTGGAAACGGCTCGGTGGGTAAACTGTTTGCCATCAAGGATCGAGACCTGAGTTTGAATCCCCAGACGAAGTCGGGCACAGCAGCGCACACCTGCAATCCTGTATGTAGTGAGATGGAGAGAGATAGGATGGTCCCTGAACACTGCAGGGCGGTTAGTCTGCAATACTCAGCAGCAACCAACGGAGACCCTGTCTCAAAATCCACACGAGGGAGGCCTCCGCACCCCCAAACACGTGCCCATTCGACCACACCCACAAATGTTAAAGTTTTAAAAGGGAAAGAAAGAGAAGCAACCTACTGGTCTTCTTCCCCAGGTGCTAAAGGGTGTTAAAAACAAAACAACAACACCCCAGATTCTCCAAGGAGTGAGGAAGGACGGACAGACAGGACAGGAAGTGGTGCACCCCCATCTTCCTCCTGGCTCCTGGGCACTGCTCTCTAACACCCGATGGATCTGGGTCCAGCCTGCATCAGCTAAGAGTAACCTGACCAGGCCAGCAAGTGCCTTCTGTCCAGCCTAGTCTGAAATCATAAGTTCCTGCTTTTCATCTCACCTCCAGGTTTG